TTGATCCTGTTTTGTACCTTTGTTCGTGCATGTCTAATATATTCCGCGGCATTGTTTGTCGCCATTACTTCTGAGTAATGATGTTTTCAGTAATTGCAAGGTTTCAAATCCAGATGATACCTTCGTGATGGTACATTGACGATCAAAAAGACAAGGATATTGTAGGAGGAACTTGTTTTGTAAACCAAGAGGCTGAGCGGAATTTTTCAGATGTAACACTTGTTCCAGATCCTTCAACTGTTCCTATGACTGTTACGACTGTTTTATGTTGTGCAGCAAAAAAAAAGGCCAAGTATGGAGAAGTGTGGGGACTTGCATAACAAGCTGCTCAACTCGCTGTTGAACATGATAGTCACAGTGAGATAATTGAATGGCTAAATCAGTTTATTAATCGCCATAGAGAAACAATTATACATACCGAATTAGTGCGAAACCAAGATAACAAAGAAAATGAACCTGAACAAATAGAAAATCCATTAGTATCATGACACAAAGGACATCCAGCAACCAAAAGATATACTGTAAATCATCAACTGAAATTAAGCCTCGCACAAAATATACTTGTGGTACATGCGGTCAAGTGGGACATAATAGTGCAAGATGTCAGAATAGGTAGTATTTATTTCGTTTTATTTAGTATTTCTTATCTTAATTCATTTCCCTTGATACTCCAGGTCATGATATTTCTGTGAGCAGAAATATTAACTTTTATTTCTCTGTTGTGGAATTACGCGTTGATACTGCTGTAACAAATTTGTGACGGGCTAGCGGCGAGCCTGTCCCTAGCTGGGAACAGAATTCGTGCAACTGTCACTTTAGTTTATCAATAAAAAGAAACACTCAAAGAGGCGGATTTGATTAAGGCCGAAAATTTGATTTATTAATTGTCATCTGAAAAAATGTTATTTTTCTCTCTTTACTACATGGTTCTTCTATACATGAGGTCCAAAAATATTAAATTGCGGCAAAACTATTACATGTCGCCATCATTATTTTTGTCGCCATCATTATTTTTGCGGCGAAACTATTACATGTTGCCATCATTATTTTTGTCGCCATCATTATTTTTGCGGCGAAACTATTACATGTCACCATCATTATTTTTGTCGCCATCATTATTTTTGTGGCGAAACTATTACATGTCGCCATCATTATTTTTGTCACCATCATTATTTTTGTCGCCATCATTATTTTTGTCGCCATCATTATTTTTGTCGCCATTACCAAGCAGAGACGCGTCACGTGACTTCGCCCGGTCTTTCTCTGCTTATGTTAATTATGGCGTACGATTGTTCTTGGCGATTGGTGTTGGTGACAATTTCCCCCGTGCTTATGTTATGCGTGCCACTCGATCACGTGATTTATGTTATATCCGACCTAAAATTTCCGAGGTTGTTACAGATAATTCATATAACAAGTTGTTACGGTTAAGTTTATCCTAGTATTATTATTGAGTTATTGTGCAGAAGTGCCCCTTTATATAGAGTATAAGTCAATAAAAAGTGATAATTGGTACAGATTATATTGCTACCAGTAGGCTGGATACTTAGAGCTATTTTTAGCTAGGCATAAGCCTAGCAAGAATACTCTTTCATGTTACAAGATATATATATTCTAATTATATTAATGTTATTATATCATCTCAAATGAGATGGGATTGAGGGATCTATCATCGATGGATAGTCACATTATGTGACTCAATATTACAAGACTATATTAATTTAATAACTTTTAATTATAAAGCTAAAGGTTTTGCAATTGATTCCTTTGTTCTTAATAATAATTTTTCAAATAAAATAATTAATTTCTCAATTGAACCAACTCTTCCTAATATTAAAACACTTATATTAAATAATTGTATAACCTAGAAACTTGAAAAGTTATGATACAATCAATAACTATATTAAAATATTTAATAATATAAGCAAGTCTATTAATATAAGACATGATAAAGAAAATAATTTTTGAAGTAAAATAGTAAGAAAAAATCAAATCACTTAAATATTAAAGAAATCAATTTGGATAATAACAGAATTAATCTTTGTAAAAGAAATTCTTATATATTAATAATTATTCTGAAAAAAATAGACTTGTTTAAAAATGGATATATTTTTATTTTTTTTATAATTGGCTGAAATCTTGAACTGGTTAATCAGCACATAAAAGAAATAGAAATAAGATATATACTTTTCACATATTTTATGTCATACTATATTAAAACCAATGATACAATTGAATATAATAGAAGAATAAGGTATTAAGGTATTCTCTTGTTAAAAATGGCTTAAAGTCTTTTTCTCTTTCTTCTTATATTGATTTCTTTTCTCTTCAAGATCAAAGAAGGTTCTTATTAGACTAATAATTGGTTTAAATAGGTTTTTATTATCAAAACAAACTTTAATTTTTTCTTTTTTTAGTTCTAGAAAAATAAAATTTTTTTACTTCATAGATCTATAATGATTATATCAAAGTAATAGTCATGAATATTGGCTGGCTATAATATTTTAGAGAAATAAGAAATGTTTTTTTATTTTAATTAAACATTTTTCTTATTTCTAATAATCTAGTTAACTTTCTTATAATTAAATAACTAGATTATATGGGTAATACAATAATCTTGGTATTAAGAATTCAAGGATTATATATAAATTTATTAGACTTATTAATTGGTTACTATAGCCATTTCAAGAATATTTAGTGATAGTAAATTTATATTATTAAAAAGATTAATAAATATGTTGGCTTGTAATCTAATTAGGAATATATACAATATATACCATAAATTACCACATAAACCATCTCAGGTCTGTTACTTTAAATCCATAAAAAAATTGATTTAGACCCGGGGGGTCTGTTGTACAAATAAGGGTCTATTATTGAGGGATTTATTATATAGATAATTATAAGAACGAATAAAAAAAAATTTTTTTTAAAAATAAATTTTCGTGTTTATTTTTTTTACATGTATATATCTATCACTTTTACAAGTGAGATCTTTCAAAATAAAGACTTACTTGAGGTAAATTTTTTATTAATTTATAAGAATATATACAATAAGATTAATTTTTTTTATTTTATAGATGACTTATAATATTAGTAATAAAAAACATATTATCATAACTCAAAAAAAAAATGATCTTGGAATGTTCGTGAAAAGTTAGCAATACTTACATATTTAGAAAAAACCCTAATGCTACAGTCTGTAATATAGCAGTAAAATTTGAAATACAACCTAATCAAATATAAGATTGGCGAAATAAACATAAACAGTTACAAGCTGCTTCACCACATATCAAATGTCTTAATATAGGATTTCAACCAAAATATCCTGAACTTGAAGAAGAATTAATAATTTGGGTTCGAGGAATGCGCAGTTAACAAAAAGCTGTTACTTGTTTTATGATATGAAATAAAGCCAAAATTTGATCAAAAAAGAACAATATCTTTTGATATATCCATCAATTGGTGAATGCAAATGGAGCGAAAAATGGTTGGATGGATTTATGCGTTGATATAATCTTAGTAATCATCATTGTACTACAGTAGCTCAAAAACCACCTAAAGATTTAGAAAACACTTAACAAGAGTTTTTAAATTTTATTTTATATTGTAGAATTCAATATAATTACTATAAAACATTTATTGGGAATATGGACGAGACTCCAGTATATATTGAAATGCCAAGTATGGTTACGATTGATGAAACCGGAGCTAAAACTATTGGAATTCGTACATGTGGTTATAAAAAAAGTCATTTTACCATTGTTTTCACATGTTTGGCAAATGAAGTAAAATTATCTCCTATGATTATTTTTAAACTTATCAATGTTTCACATCAAACTTTTCCAAAAGAGATTCTGGTTCATACAAATAAAGATGGATGGATGAATACTGATAAAATGCTATAGTGGATTAAAAATATTTGGAACTGTTGTAACTTGTTAACTATATACCTGCGATCTTTTTTGGTATTTAACTCTTTCAAAGGGCATTTAACTAATTCAGTTAAATGGCAATTAAGTGAACACAACACAACTATGGCAGTTATTCCAGGTGGTTTGACTTCAAGATTGCAACCTCTTGATGTTGCAATTAATAAATCTTTTAAAGCGAAGGTTAATTATTATTATTATTATTATTATTATTATTTTATTTTTTTGATTTTTGTATATAATAATTAAATTAAATAAATATTTTTATTAGATTCGTATACTTTATAATGAATGGATGTCTGAGGAAGTAAAAAAAATTAACTTCTTCTGGTTGTATACAATGTCCTGCTTATAGTACTCTTGCAGAATGGGTGGATATTGCATGGAAAAACATTGACTCTACGCTTATTCAAAAATCCTTTAAATGCTATAGTATTTCAAATGCACATAATAGCTCTGAAGACCATCTTATATTCGATTACAATCAGGTTATAAACAACAAACCAAAAAGCACAAACTTTATCGTTGAGAATGAAGAAAATAATAATATCGGGTTCTTTGATGAATCAATTGTTGGATGATAAAATTCAACTTAATAATGATCCTAAAAATAATAATGACAAAGAAAATGAAATTTATGATTATTATAAGAGAGAATCTTTAGATTACAGTAATTCTTGGGAATAGCGATAATTAGAGGCCAAAAAATATGAGAATGTAATTCAAATTTTAATAATAAAAGTAAATTTCAATAAAGTTTGAATAAATATTCTGGCTTTTTTATTTTTTAAATTACACATATTTTTCTTTAATTTATTCTTGCTCAAATTTTAAACTATTTATTTCAGAAATAATGGAGAAAACTATTGAAATAGTGCACACCACCCATGCTTAGAGAGGGAAACCGATCGCTCAGTCTTGATGTAATCCTATTTCTGCAAGACTTATCCCCCAGTTCGATCTCCATGATTTGAAGCCAAGAGTTGATAGCAAGAAAAGAGTATCGCAATGTATGCATTGGCATTGAGATGGGCCACTTAGCATACAATCATTCTTGTCCCCAAAGCATCACTGCTGTAAATAATATCCTTCGTGTTTTCTTGTGGAAGTGAACAAACTCAAATGGCATGTGTGAGAGTACGTAGCCATGCCCAAATCACCAGCACCTTGTGGGGAGTATATGATCATGCTTAAATCATTCCCGGCATTAGCGAAACAGAGTGACCTTTAAATATCCTTGTTCCAAACCACATGGTTCCTTGAATCAATACCATTTTATACTACTATCCATGCCCAAGGTCACTAGCATGTTGTAGAGAGTACACTGCCATACTCAAATCACTAATAAGCTGGAGGTATGTCGTCATATTTATTATGCTTTGAATGTCCTTCTTTGTTTTGAATCCTTAAAGCGTAATTCCTGAATGAGTACCTTTTCATACTTTGAATGTCCTTCTTTGTTCCAAACCAGAAGGTATGCCTTCTTTGTTCCAAACCACGTGATCCCTTGGGCCAATATCACTTTATAACTATTATCCATGCCCAAAGTCACTGACACATTGTGGAAGTATACTGCCATATTCAAATTGCTAATAAGCTGAAGGTATGCTGCTAACATTGAAACAGAGCAACCTCGACATATGTAAAAAGGAGTGGAGGATTTGATGAGTCAAATAAGGTTTCCGGGAACAAACCAAAAACAAAAAAAATCACCTTTGAACATCCTTCTTTGTTCCGAATCCTTACAGAGCATAGTTCTGAACAAGCACCTCTTTAATACTATTTAAATGCACACATTGCGGGGAGTTCACAGCTATGTTCAAAGATTCATAGCAATATGTAAGAAATATATATCCTGTCCAGCTGTATCCAAAATCGCTAACATGTTGTGGAAAGCGTACCACCGTGCTCAAATCACGTCATGTTCATTTCCAATTGATTTTTGGTAATATTCAAATGCTTTATGTTCATTCTTTCTTAATTCCCATTCTATTTGAGATAACAATAGCTGACACTAAGTATTCTGTTTACATTACCCATCTCAGCTGATTTTTGATAATACTTGAATGCCTTACGTTCATCCCTTTTCGAATCCCAATTCCTTTCTTACAACTGTTACCAACTCGAGATATTCCATTAGTCACTCTTATTCCAGATAATTTCTGAGAATATTCGAAAAACTTGTGTTCTTCTTAGGATTTTCATCTCAATTGATTTTGATAATACTCAAATGCCTTAAGTTTATCCTTTTTAACATCCCAACTTGAATATCGCACTAACATATCTTATTTCAACTGATTTTTGATAACACTTAATCATTTTCTTTAATTCCATTCCATTGAAATAGTGATGACCAACAAGGTATGTTTCATCCGAGTCACCTATCTCAGCTGATTTTTGACAGTATTCGAATGTTTTAAGTTTATTTCTTTTGGCTCCAATTCTACGCCCATGCCAAATAAACTAGCATTAGAACTGAAGCCTTTAACTCCAATTCCTTTATTGTAATAGCAGTCAACTTCAATATCATCCTAACACATCCCATCTCTTATCCTTTCTAACTTTAGCTCCATTGAAATAGCAATGACCAACTGTTCATTCCTTTCAGCTCTAATTTTATCTCAACAGCACATACCAACAACATTGTGGGTCAATATCATTTGTACTCTCAGAACACTGGCATGTGAGTTCGCTCAGCTTTCTAACTTGTTGCTGCTATACTCAAACCAAAGTGATCTTGACATGTGGTGGGTAGGCAGAAGACTCGAAAGTACAAACGTTATCTTTCCTAAATATCTCTTTTATATTTTGATTCCTATGTAATCCTTAATTTAAAAAAAATTTTTATTTGATCTAATTTATATATAACTGTATAATAGACCCGGGTCTTATACAGTTTACCTTTAGCTGGACCCAAGTTATAGACCCGGGTCAATTAAAAAGGGAATCTTCTATAAAGGGGTGGTTTATATAGCAATTTATGATATATCTACTGTATTTATCTATATATCTATTATTTTTAGATAATTATTTATAAAATAGATTTAAGGATGATTATTTATATATAGTAATATATTAATATCAGAAAATATGTACAATGATTATCAGAACAGTATATAAATTTATAAATAAGATATATAATATCAAATATTTATTATTTGATTAGTATTTATAATTAATTGTTTTGAATTAATTAATGATTATCTTGATATTCTATCTAATGTTTTACTTTATTGTCTCATTAATTATATATAACTAATAGTATATCAATAAGATATTATAAAATATTGAAAGAATTATATATTTAAAAACAGAATTTTTGATTTTGAATAAAGCAATTTAGTTTGAACTTCTATTTTTTTTTTTTTATAGATAAATACACAATGATGCAGATCTTTATTGATACTTGTATAATTAGAAATATATCAAGTATCTTTTATAATTAAAACAATTGCTATATATATTGATTGTATCTGATAACAGTTCTAACCATACATGTGGTCATATTACCATAAAAGGAAATTTGATTGACAATACGACTCCGAATTAAATACGAATTCCAATTATTTACTATATATTACTTAGTAATTCTACCATAATATGGTTTTTGAAAAATGGTTGAATTCAATTTCATCATATGTATAGTTCTAACTATAACTAATACTGCTTTGTCTGGATAATAGCTTATTATCTATTTTAAATCCAACTATAAGAATTATATATCAAAGATGAATCCAACATATCAGGTGGGATTTTTATAGGTGGGAAATGTCTACCACTAGTTTAAACCATTTAATCTATAACCCATTTACTAAGAGCTATGTCTATCCCGCAAAGATTTGGTCATCAGATTTCTGAATACTTCAATACTTTTCATTTGAACTCTCGAAGAGGATATTTGTTCTTTGTCACCACTTGTGGATTTAGTAGATTCTTCCCAGAGATCGACTTCTTTTAAACAAGTGTTGGATTGGAATAGCTCCAAATTAGAAAATCCTGGAGGGAATCGAGACGAGACTTATTGAATACAACATATATATATTGTAAAAGTCTTAAATAAATTATTAGTGATTTAAAAAGACAGTGAACTTTAGCGACTGTAATTTAAACACCAACAGAGTTGGGACTTTATTAAGGTCAAAAGAGCATCCTTTTATACATGTCGGCTTCATACAAACGTAAAAATACATAAATAAATAAATATTAAAAATACATATATCTATATTGGGCTTAACCTCCGGAGACATATGTACTTAATTAACATAATGAAACGAAAAAGTAAATAAAAGAAATAAAAAGGAAAAAGATATGCACACTCTATGGCCTTATGCTCCTAATTTAGTTACATTAACTCATAGTAATTGAATTAGTGGCGTTTGGCGGCGTGTCACATCGTCAGGGGTCAGAATCGCACCATACATGCGTCTGACAGTCGTCTGGGAGCATGTCTCAGACTCGCAGGTCGTCAGGGGCGGATCAGATACCTTCCGGGGCGTCCGGTTCACAGGCGCAGTATGGGTCCCGTGGCACAGTCAAGGTCAGTATTGTTACAGCTTCACTAACTTAGAATACTATAATGAAGAATACTACAAAACAATGGATAGTGAACAATCATCAAATATACAACAAATAGCAACATTTCTGCAAGAAGAAAACACACTATACACAACAGAAAACAACCTCAATGACATTAGAAACATACAAATACAACTTTTTTCCCCAATCAAGAGCATACAGAATAAAATGAACCAAATCTTTTTCATTATAGACACATCAGCACAGACATCAACCCAAAAAACTATCCATAATAAATAATAATGGGGAACAACAATAGCAACAACAATAATATAAACAATCAAGATTATCTTATAGAAGCACAACCCGTTCCTGATATAACAATGCACAAAGACAATACCATAACCTTTTTTCAACAACTCGAAACAATACTGACCTGGTCAGATACAAACTCTAATCAAAGCATTCAAGACTGAAACATCCACAACATCCATGAAGCAACAACCTCAAATATGTAAATTACAAACACAGAAACTATAACAGCAACACAACTACCAGAAGAACAGAACATACAACTTGCAAACTCAACAAACCAAATTCAAGAATGGCACATCTCAACAATTAACATCAGAGGCACCAAATCCAATCCCAACAAACAACTATTATGGACAGAATAAATTGAAGAATCAGGAAAAGACATTATAGCACTCACAGAAACCAACATCTCCAAATCAGTAGGAAAATACATCAGATTTGCAAACTACCAAACAATATAGAGCAAAGCAAGTGACCAACTAAAGGGATTTGGAGTTGCCCTGTTAATCAAACAAAACATATATATGGGAGAACAGATTGATTTGAACAGACTTACTTTTTAAATACAAAAAAAGAATTAGAATTATCGCAGCATATATCCTAGCAAGTTCATATCAAAAATACAAAACATGTACAAAAAGATACTAAAAGTCCTCTCAGAAGCCAAATCAGTTCAAGTACACACAATAATTCTTGGGGACTTTAACATGGTCACCAATCCAAGTATCGATATATCAAACTCAAATTTTTCCAAAAATAGACAATTTTTTCCCACTGGACCTATCATTCAATAGTTATTCATAAATCAATATGTCAATACCTTCAGAGAAATACACTCACTCAATACATAATATACTTGAAACAACATTAACAATATTCAAAGCAGAATCGACCAAATCTGGATATCGCCATCAATATTATGGATCATCACACAAGTGTCCATAGAAGTAATAGACACAACATTATATGAAACAGGTCACAACATCTTACACATCACAATTTAACTCTGGAACATAGATGTACTCAACAACTAATACCCCAGACACCAGACAAACAACAGGTTTAGATGGAAAGACATATCTACAGAAAAATGGAAAAATTTTGACAAGGATATACGAAAACTCTCCAATACACATGGCCAACTCAAGGAAAGAACAAACAAAATATCGACAGAAAATAGTACATCTTCAGAGATGTACTTCTCAAATCGGTTGCCAACTATATAAAGAAATATAAAGAAAAGAAAAAAAAATCCAAACCTCCCAAACCATCCACCTTCATCATCAAAAAGATATTCAAGCTTAAAAATCTATCCAACAGATGGGAAAAACAAAATATTACAATAGAGACCTTTCTTTTCAAAACAAAAAAAATACTTAACCAGCTTACAAACAAACAAAAACCTCACAATCAACTCCATTTATAAGCCATTAATAGTTTATTTTTATTTACTTGATATCTTAATATTCTATAAATAATAAATTAGAATTAACTCCTATAAATAATTGATATAAGATTTTTAATATAATAACAATAAACTAAAATTTAATAAATGTTTTATATTTAATGCTTATATGTAATATAAAAAAAATAATAATATAAAAATATTTTAATATTTATACATGTTTTAAAATTATTAAAATTAATTATTTTTTCAATTTTATTTTATTATTATTATTATATTACAATTATTACAAACTATTTTATTATTATAATATTACAAATTATTTTATTTTATAATATAATAAACCATTACAAATTAATATATTATTAAATTTT